TCCCTTTAATACCAGGCGTATTATGTTTCCAAAATGGTTGCAGGCCTGAAGAACTGAAGATACCAAATATTGTACTGCAAACTAGGGTTGCCAGAAACTGACCATGATCAAAATCGATTATTCGGCAGCCCTGGCGAATAATAATCGATTAATCGACCCCCCCCCCCCCCCCCCCCCCGCGGGACAAAAAAAAAAACTCAGACAAAAGGAATTCCGTTGTTTTCTTTACTGGAACATGTTTAACAGTACAAACAAAATAAACGACAAATAAACCAACATCAACATGATGTTGGTTTATTTTTTGTTATTTTCTAAAGTGCCTGCCATTGCCTTTATTTGGAGATGCGCTATGCACGCACAATGTATTTATTGCAATGCTGCCATTATTAAATACAGGCTACAGCTTGTATTAATAATAGCAGCATTGCAATAAATATTATTATAGCAATTTATTTATTCGGAAATCCGCCAAATTTAACGAGAAAATCGCCAAGTTGGCAACACTGGGCGGGGGCGGTGTGAGGGAGGGTGGGGGTGGGGGCGGTGTGTAGCGTGCTGCAGCAGCAGTCTGCTCTGCACGCAGGCTTCCTCCAAGTTTACAGTAAAACAAACTGGTGGTGTGACCAATGGCCATTTACAATTGTTAATACTATTACTATTATTAGCATTAGTCTATATTTTGGTTGAAACTAAGCCAGAAAAAAAAAAAAAAACATAAATAATAATAAAAAAATATATAAATAAAATCGATTTTTAAAAATAATATTCGATTATGGAGACTGTAACGATTAATCGAATAATCACTGGCATCCCTACTGCAAACCAAAGAAGTATGGACATTAAATGTAATGATGTGAGACCTTTGTCACACAGTTAAGGGACAACACATATTCTTGCAGTTACAGCACTAAAATACTCCTAAAAATGTAAGAAAAGAAAGACAATATATACAGAAAATCTGAAAAGGCTGGTCATTGGAGAGCTTTACTGGAAACCATATGATGTTACACTTGGAAGACTTTGATCATATTGAGCGCCATTTACAGTGGGGCAAAAAAGTATTTAGTCAACCACCAATTGTGCAAGTTCTCCCACTTAAAAAGACGAGAGAGGCCTGTCATTTTCATCCTAGGTATACCTCAACTATGAGAGACAAAACGAGAAAAAAAAAATCCAGAAAATCACATTGTCTGATTTTTAAAGAATGTATTTGCAAATTATGGTGGAAAATAAGTATTTGGTCATTAACAAAAGTTCATCTCAATACTTTGTTATATACCCTTTGTTGGCAATGACAGAGGTCAAACGTTTTCTGTAAGTCTTCACAAGGTTTTCACACACTGTTGCTGGTATTTTGGCCCATTCCTCCATGCAGATCTCTCATAGAGCAGTGATGTTTTGGGGCTGTCGCTGGGCAACACAGACTTTCAACTCCCTCCAAAGATTTTCTAAGGGGTTGAGATCTGGAGACTGGCTAGGCCACTTCTTCGTTGCCCGGCCGGTGTGTTTGGGATCATTGTCATGCTGAAAGACCCAGCCACGTTTCATCTTCAATGCCCTTGCTGACGGAAGGAGGTTGTCACTCAAAATCTCACGATACATGGCCCCATTCATTCTTTCCTTTACACGGATCAGTCGTCCTGGTCCCTTTGCAGAAAAACAGCCCCAAAGCATGATGTTTCCACCCCCATGTTTCACAGTAGGTATGGTGTTCTTTGGATGCAACTCAGCATTCTTTCTCCTCCAAACACATCTAGTTGAGTTTTTACCAAAAAGTTCTATTTTGGTTTCATCTGACCATATGACATTCTCTCAATCCTCTTCTGGATCATCTAAATGCTCTCTAGCAAACTTCAGACGGGCCTGGACATGTACTGGCTTAAGCAGGGGGACACGCCTGGCACTGCAGGATTTGAGTCCCTGGCGGCGTAGTGTGTTACTGATGGTAGCCTTTGTTACTTTGGTCCCAGCTCTCTGCAGGTCATTGACTAGGTCCCCCCGTGTGGTTCTGGGATTTTTGCTCACCGTTCTTGTGATCATTTTGACCCCACGGGGTGAGATCTTGCGTGGAGCCCCAGATCGAGGGAGATTATCAGTGGTCTTGTATGTCTTCCATTTTCTAATAATTGCTCCCACAGTAGATTTCTTCACACCAAGCTGCTTACCTATTGCAGATGCAGTCTTCCCAGCCTGGTGCAGGTCTACAATTTTGTTTCTGGTGTCCTTTGACAGCTCTTTGGTCTTGGCCATAGTGGAGTTTGGAGTGTGACTGTTTGAGGTTGTGGACAGGTGTCTTTTATACTGATACAGACTTCAAACAGGTGCCATTAATACAGTTAACAAGTGGAGGACAGAGGAGGCTCTTGAAGAAGAAGTTACAGGTCTGTGAGAGCCAGAAATGTTGTTTGTTTGTAGGTGACCAAATACTTATTTTACCGAGGAATTTACCAATTCATTCATTAAAAATCCCACAATGTGATTTCCTGGATTCTTTCCCTCCATTCTTTCTCTCATAGTTGAAGTGTACCTAGGATGAAAATTACAGGCCTCTCATCTTTTTAAGTGGGAGAACTTGCACAATTGGTGGCTGACTAAATACTTTTTTGCCCCACTGTACCTGCATTACTGCTTAATAATGTTTGCAGGTTGATGCTGCCTTTTCCAACAAACTACTCCAGTTTCTCCGAATTTTAGCCTCATAATGTTGGACTTTTGAAATGAAACATATCCTGTCTGTAGTTCGATATTCACTGATGTCTTACAGCATGAGGTGACAGGTCAGAAGGGATTCTCAAGAAGAAAACAAAACTCCATCTCTACCAAGCAGACGTTTTAGTAAGTTTATCATATTTTAAATAATGCTTCTAAGTTTGCCTTATTCTTTGTTACAGATGGACGAGTTTTTGTAAACTAAGGTGCCTTGCCATGCTGACGGTATCTGTGTATTTCTATATAATACTGCATACGTTGTCAGTAAAAATGAAACCTGTACTTTATTAAAGGTTATTAACAATATTTGCATCGTACTGTTTCTACCCATGCCTTTTTGCCAACTCATTTTAGAGGGTAAACCTGTTTCTCTTTTAAAGAGACAACAGCCAGAACCCACATAGTTTCAAAGATGTTGTGTGATCTCTCTGTGGTGTTGATAGACTTGAGAATACTTTAATAGGATGAAAACATCCCTTTTCCTCTGTGTCTTAGATGAAGCAAGATGTTTTTGCTCCTTGCAGGCTTATCTTTGAATGTGAGGCCAAAGGGTTTGACATCAAAATGGCTTGTGAAATAACTAACACATTTGTATTTAATGTTTTTTTCCATTTTACCTCAGCATTTCTGCACGACGTGAAATGAAGAAACTTTCCTAAAAAGTATAAGTCTGCTGAGGTCAAATGGAAAAAACATTAAATACAAAGTGGGGTTGCTATTTCACAAAGCATGTTTGTGTCAGACCCCTAATAAACCAGCCAAAACATGCGAGTTACAGCTTAAATCTTTATCTACTCGAGGAAAAAGGGATTAATGGAGTTAGTGTGAAAGATGAGCTGCTTGGTTTTATTCAAGGATACGCAAAACAATATGTGATTTAATAAGAAATAAGGAGGAGGGGACATGGAAACAGGTAGAGTGAGCCAGGTCATGAGCTGATTTGATCAAAGTAAACATGTCAGGATGTGTGTACGTAAATGGAGATAGATAAGTCTGGAAATCAATGCTGTGCCAGCTGCTGCGCTTCATAATGTCTCTGTAGAGCTGATCAGCTGTGATGTCTGTGATTGCTGTTGTTTGTACGCCAAAGAAGATGTGCCACTGGCCGAGTTCAGTTAAAGTTAAACATATTTGTGTGTAGATCGAGAAGTAAGCTGGATTTGGTCATTCCCTCTGCAGAAAACTATGATCCAAGTCATGCAGCTAGATATATTATTTGTGATCTTATATCTAAAACGTGTTGATCTTTTTTTAGAGAATACTATACTATGCAATTGTTTTGTTTACGATGATTGAGATGGTTTTAGGAATATAACTTTTGTTCTTACCCAGTCGATCATATAGTTACAACTGAAACCTGAAAACAGAAATAAAAGTATTATAACAGACAAAAACACTTTTAAGTGGCCCCATTGGTCTGAACTCACCTGCTCTTAAATAGGAAGGTATCATTTAATGTTTTTGTTTAAACCGCCTCTTCACTGTGTGCAGAAGGATGTTTTATAGTGTTATTATAAATACTCCTGATCTTGATGGCATCATATTATAGTTTTTGTTCTTAAATCTGAATGCTTTTGTTTCTGTCAGTTTCCTCAGACACGCCTCCATGAGCTCACTGGACTGCACACAACTTAGGAAAGCACATGGAAAATATATATCGAGATGTACTTTTTTTTAGATATGATTGGAATAAGACTCTTGGCTTGTTTTCAACATTTCAAACTCTGTATATCAAGTTCCATTCTTCTAGCTCTAAGCACATTTGCCCAAAATGGAAAGTGTTTTTCCAAACTGTTGTAAATAAACAGAATCATTTTACGATATTCATCCTACTGTTAATCCATCCACCTTCTAGTTGTTTGCTCATTTCCTGCAGTGCCAGCCAGGAAAGCAGAGCAGCCCAGATGGGCTTTTCTCTGCAAATTCCTCCAGTTTTTCCAAAAGTAACTTGTGGTGATCAGAATATGCTTGCATGCAGCTGTCCTGGGGGTCTTTAGCAGGTAAGAAAAGTCAGTGCTTTGTCCCTTAATGAATGTGGACAGTGCCCCAAATGTGTTTCTGAAATTTCGAAAATCTCTTTTAAGAAAAACGTTACTTAAATTGAATTCATTTATCTTTATGTATTTAAAAACGATGTTTACTTGCTCTAAGTGTATGAGTATTGACACCTTCTGTTCTGCTGTGTGTACACTGAAAAACGAATTCAATATATCCATCAGAACATCTGAAACATACTAATAAAAGGTTAAACCTAACAAATCCCGTGAATCCATTGAAATCATAAATCGATATACATGTGATTGTGATTTAATGGATTTTCATTTACAAAATATACATTTTCCAAAACAGCACTTGCCAAACAAACTTGCATGTTTAAAACACATGACACAGTTACTGAGCCACCGGATATCCTGCTGCTAATACTCTTCTTTTTTTAATCTCCACTGCATTAAGTATTGATGGGAATTACGGCTCTTTGAAGGGAGCTGGATCTTATGGCTCCGTTCTTTTCCGAGAGCCGTTCAAACGAGAAATAATCACCAGGATAATGATTGACTGTATTGCCAGAAATCTACTTTTACTCACAGAAAATGTATAACTTGCTACATCTCTCAGCCAGCCAAACTACTACTCAAGCAGCATGCGTTATGCCATCATCTACGGAAAATTGGCATTCAGGAAAGCAAGTTACTTTTAAAGGCGAGTGGGTTTATTGCAGGCAGTGAACCAACAATAAAAAGAACGGCTCTCACCAAGTAGGACTCGGTTCCCTTCGTTCGTACCAAAGAGCCGTTCAAAAGAATCGGATCGTTCAAAAGAATCGGATCGTTCAAAAGAATCGGATCGTTCAAAAGAATCGGATCGTTCAAAAGAATCGGATCTTTCGCGAACGTCACAACAGTGAACAAAGATTTGCATCAAGCAAAGAGTAAAATGTGTGCCGTTTATACAACTCCAGAGCGTATCGCAATGCTGGTCAGATTTGATATTTGGAAGAAATGTTTCTTAAGATATGAATACATTGCTTAGCTCCATTAGCATTTAATAGCCAAAGATGTGCTCGCTACACTATTTACTTTCTAGACTTAAAAATTCATGTCATAGTTCTTGGCACATCAAGCATGAGCTGCTTGTGGAGGAAAACTGATGTTCAATTATCAGCTGCAGCCTCGAAAAGGCAACATTTAAAAGTCACTGACAGTGAGAAGAGGATCCTTCTCAACATTTCGTTTTTTAATCATCATCATCATCATGATTGGGGCGTGGAGGAGGCCGTGAGGGAGGAGGCGCTCTGCACGGGGCGGGACCCTGAGGAGGGGGCGGTAGGGAGCCGGTTGGGGACGGGGGTGCAGAGACTGAGCTCAAGTTAGAAGGAGGCAGGGCTCTGTTGGGAGGAGGGGTGTACGGAGGAAGGGTGGTAAAGTCCGGGGGAGGAGTGGACGGCAGAGGGGGGAGCGTTGAAGTGGGCGAAGGGGGCAAGAAGGTGTGGCTGCCCTCTGACGGACGACGCTGGTAGCTGTGGGGCAAAGTGTAGACGGGCGTGGAGGGGTGGTTGTAGATGGGATAGTGAGAAACAGGGTAGGGTTTACTCCGGGTGAAGTTGATGCACTTGCCCTGTAATGAAGAGAAATACAAAGTCATTTCAGGTCATTGTGGAAAGAAAAGAAAAGACAACAATCTGCAGATATTCCATAAATCTGAATCTGCTGTGGCACATTGGCAGGCTTGGAAGGGTACAGCTTTCAACTAACGGAAAGAGGAAATTCCTCTGTTATTGAGTGTCAAGGAAGAAAATAGTATTCCTGCCAGCCCAGTCGAGCAGAAGCTGGGAGTGGAGCAGGACCTACTCCAAATGACTTCTCCAGACAAGTCTTCCTGCAGAAACAATGCTGCGGTTGTTTTTTCCTTTGTCTACTCGCTATGCCTCCTGAGGGTTTAGCTTGAAGTCAGTTTGAAGGAGCTTTGACTTTTGAGTCTATGGAATACGTCTTTAATGTCATGCAGATGAAACATCATCTCGTTTTTTTACTTTGCTCTTTGATCCTTCGCTCCAAACTTCTTTTGTTCCTCATTTCCAGAGGTCATGAATTTGAGATCTGGCCAATCTTTACACGTCTGCCTGCCAAAAACCTGAAATATCTGGTTAACTATCCTTTTTATTGCTTTGCTTTTTAGTTAATGCGTTCTTGTCTTAACAGAAGTGATGCTGTTTTTCATTAAAGAGAGGAAGAATCGTAGCATATTCTCCTTTCTTCTTGTCTCTGGCGTGTCTCTCACCTTGTCTCCAGGATGAGGTCTCATCACAGACACTCTGTCATAGCCTTTTCTCAGAAATACATACAAAGCGTCCAGTTTGCCCTGGAGAAAGATTAGCACAGATGATAGTACAAATATTAAACAGCAGATCATACAAGTGACCTCTGATGTGTGTCATGTCCCGCAGGCAGCGTTAGTCTGTTTTCTCTGCCAGGCGGCATCTGCTCCACTTTTTGCTGCAGATGTCTTTCTTTTGATTCTTGCGTAAGCTTTATGGTAGAGCCATAGATAAACAAAGAAAGTATTTTTGCTGGAAATAACAGCCGTGCAACAGATTCCATAATAATGGGTCAGCTCGGTTCAGGTCGGGTTCTTATTAGCATCCATCCAGCTGACTAATATGCTAGGGAACACATTTGTATTAACTATTTCCTGGTCACACATTATCCCCAGGAACACTCAAACTAATACTTTTAGATTATGATGGATGGACGTCATTGTCAGGAAGAGGTCTTTATGTTTCGAAACATCTGGAACTTACTGTAGTATATTACATATGTTAACGTTATGTGATCCATGACATGGAAAACATTTTCCAACAGTTCTCTAACTGAGCAAACTGGACAAGACCATGCTTTGTGGATAAAAACTCTCAAAAAAACTAAAACAACCTAAGATAAGATTTGTTTTGTCAATTTAAGTATATTTAATAAAACAATAAAGTTCAAACTAAATAACAAAGCACCTTTATTGGAGAGTACCACTTCTGTGGGCGGACTGATTTGTGCACGTGGTAGTAAGGCTGCGGTGGATCATACTCCTCCTCTGGCATCACAACTCGAGCATTTTTTGCTTTTTCCAGTTTAGCTCCTTCTTCAGTCGAGCCTTTATCTCCCCATCGGACCTGAATACAAACAAAAGTTATCAGTGCTCTAATAAGACAAGCAAAATAAGTGTTTAAATGAGTAGAGTTTGAAGTAGGAATACAGTCGATAATTGTATTCGTTTAGCTTCAGAATAATAGAGCGGCTACGTTTTAGCCACGTTAGCTCCACCGTTTGTCTTAACTGACATATCTCAAAAACTGTTTCATGACATTTTCAGATGTTGTTTTGTTCCTAGACAATAAGTCCATCTCACTTTAGAGATCTACTGACCTTTACTCTGAGCTTGACATTTTTGTTTTCTGGAAAAGTGTCTCAAACAACTATTGGATGGATAGTTGTTGTTTGTTAAACTTTCTTCTTGCGCCATGGACTGGTTAAATGTTTGTGTCCCACACTTAGTTGTATGACTGAATATCCTACCTTTAATGATGACATGCAATCAGCCTCAGCTGTACTTTGCTGCATTTGCATTTAGTCTACTCTAAATAGTGAATGTTAGCATGCTAAATACTGTAGCTAAAATAAGCATGTTAGCATTGTCTTTCTGAGTATGTTAGCATAACTATAGCATTTAGCTCAAAACACAGCTGTGCCTAAACACAGCGCTTAGACCTTAGACTTAGAGAAGCTTAGTCTTGTTACATTGAATATTTTGAGATAATAAGAACATTTTATTTACATCAGCTGAAAAAAGGCATCTGGACCATTTTTATGCCAGTGCATGCAATGATTTCAACTGTTGTAAATTATTTCAATCTTATTGCTACAACGTGCTGCTTTATTTCTACATATGAAAATGACTCTTTCTTGCACATCCACATAAAGATTAATTCAACCCAGTCCTCAGAAGTTGGCTCATTTGCCTCAAAATGTTATTGCATTGCAGTTTATGTTCCAAAGTTTGGGATTTTTTCCTATGCCCCTGAGAGAGCAGCATTTACTTTTAGACCTATGTTCTAACTTAAAAACTACATATTCAGCATAAGAACCAATGCTAACGATAATCTTCCTTCCCACATGTAAAGAATGTTTCACTAAAAGCAGATTTGTTATGTTTCTTTTATGATTAACTGAATGCTCAGAGAACAACTAAAAAAGCCAAAGTAAAGATGAAGAAAGATCCATCACACCAGGATTTAAACCAGTCCTGTCAAAGCAACCTTGGAAGATCATTATTCAGATGTACTCCCTTGCAGCTGCCACAGAAAAGCCATGGAAGTTTAAACCTGGCAGAAAAAGCACTTAAATGAGGTTGTGCATATTTTCCATAGCTCTGTTTGGAAGTGGTGCCGCTTCAAGTTCACAGCTCAGAGTCCTCAGGCTGCACTGACAGTCTGTAAAGCATTTCACACCAAGAGAGTGACCTCCTTTCTCCTAGACACAGACACATATCGTGACCTTGGGACGTATGTACTTTCTGATCATTCCTCAGAATCTATCAGGTAGCTCAGATGTCTGACTGCCTCTTACTATTTCACTATAAATCTCCAGACATTATGATTTCTTCCTTTCCACCTATGCTTTCCACACACAATTGAAAGCATTCTTGCCTTTTACAATCTCAAGTTGCAAAATCCAATCCTCTAATAGGCACCTTTACTTCTCCTGAGCAGCCTGCTGAAAACCAAAGAAACTTGCCTGTTTCTGTAACAACCACGAACAAATCATTCAAGCTCGCCAGAAGAGTACACATCCTGGCATTTGGTAAATCTGTCGTCTCTGCAGTTTACGGGCCAGATCTTGGCCTCAACTTGACTCTCACTGGCTCTCCAAAGAATCACAACTACAAAGTGACTCAGCCGCTTCCAGCATGGACTTGCATACTCATCTCTTTTAAGGAATTACTCTTTTCCTGTTCCACTTTGTATTGCCTCTGTCATTGATTGATCTTTTTTCAAAGTGAGCAGGAGCTAGAATCATGGCTGCCATATGTTTCTTCTATGAACCTGGAGCTAGCTGACTGATATGCAGTGGATTTCATTCTTATATTTACAAAAAATCATATTTAATTTTGCAAAGGAGCAGAATTGACTAATTCAGCATCTATAAGCATCATCTGCTGGTTTGATGTTGATTCAATGTAAGAAAGATCTCTTCTGATTATAGCAGCTTTGCAACAGGCTGCAACATTTTTGCAATATTAGTATCTGGGTTTCCTTATACCTCCATTCTTTTGATGCCTCCGACTCCACGTCCTCCGTAGTACGAGGCGTCCACTGTGGGCCACCTCTTCTTGGGAAAACCATCCTCGTCATCCTTTCAAAAATAAATCAAAGAAGCAAAACCATTAGACTTTGCGAGACAAACAAGGCAATAATTACTGTTATGAAATTAAAAAGGGTGCAGAAAGGGGAGAAAAAGGATTAAGCACTTACAGAGCTGTCCTCTATTACTGGAGGAGGCGGCTCGTGAATGACCTGCAAACATGAAAGATAAATATATAATGGTGCAACCTGACATAAACACAAATGTTTATGTTGTTCATCCACAAAATCCAAGATGGCTGCCGTACCACGGTGCAGCAGAGAGGCCAGAACCACCAGAGCAGGAGGACGATGAGCAGGAGCAGCAGGATGAGCAACGCTATGGCAACAAAGGTCCCATCAGACTATAGAGCAGGAAAAAGAGACAGGACATCACCAGGGTAAGATCATTTGACTGTATACTGCATCAAACCAGTACACAACTTTCTAACCAACATGTTGCTTTTAAAATACTGAAATACATAATGTGTTGTACTTGTGTTTGAATGAAACTACTTTAACAAGTTTGCAACTGAGACTAGAAGAAAGAATCATTTATGAAAGTGGCGGTAAAATAAATCAAGGTACTTGTACTTTACTGTACTTCAAGTATCTTTTGCAGCTTTATACTTTTACTCCACTGCATCTTACAAGAACAATTTTTACTTTGATCCTACTACTTTATTAGAAGTTGGACAGCTTTTGTATCTTTACACTTTTGACCCATTCTCTCCAGATGTGTTTATTTGAATGTGTCTGATAAACTAATGGATAAAATATTCCTCTGTGGTTTAAGACAATTATTATTATTTGGACCCAAAGCTCACACGGATTGAGTAAGCCAAACATTAGTTTCCCAGGGTTTGCAGAGCACCCATGAGGCTTGATCTTTTCTAAACATCTCATTGATATACTCTCATGCTTGGTTGCTCTCGAGCCATTCTAGACAACTGTAACTATTTATTTGCTGGACTACCACAACTCAATAAATTCCCTCCAAATTAAACATGGGCTACGGTTCTTACAAAAACTATAACTATAATCAAATGTAAAATAAAACGGAGTAAGAGCCTCAAGTTAATAATGACAGGATGTTTCTTTAAACTAACCCTAACCCTAACCCTGAAAGAAACAACTAGAACCCTTACTCTAACCCTAACCCACGTTTTATCATGCAATGTTTCAATATGAATAGTATGAGTCAGAACAAAGTGAAGACTGGAGTTGGAATATATCTATAAGCTTTGTGTGAGTTCAGCTTTTATTTGAATTGCACTTACACATGTGACTGCAGTAATTGTGACAGAGCTTGATACGAAGCTCAGGCCATTATTCATGCTGACGTGGAGAGTGGCACATCTGTACAAATGGAAGTGGGAAAAAAAGAGGAGCAATGATCATGTATTCAATGCGACACAGTCTGTAAACGTTTACAGTAATAACTTACGTTCCCTCTTTTTCCAGTACAGGAGCCGGGCACAAAAGGTAGGTATCTTTCACCACCAAAGGTCTTTTCACTGTGGAATAAACAATGTTATCATGCTGTAATGAACTTTACATACAAGGGTTAATTACAGATGATAACTGGTGAATGAGAAAGTAGTGAAAGCTGCAAAGGAGAACTTTTGCTTGATTTTGCTCTAGCAGTCATGAAACTCAACTAAATTCTAGCCTCAAACTTTTTTTTTGTTATTCAATTCCTGGACTTCCTCCCCTTATGGAAAAAGTATCAAATTAGGGCGGTTTGCGGTTTATTTACCCTGGCTGAGTGAGTGTCTAGTGTGTGCAAAGACAGTGCTTCATGCCTGATGAGATCCACATTCCCCTCCAGACATCTGAGAAGCATTGAGCGTTATACCAGCTGATTCAAAGGAGGGCTAGATGGTGTTGATGGGTTTTTTTAAGAGGAGGGCCGACGGGGATTTCAGCCATTGAGAGCTACTAAAAACTGCTCACCCCTCACCGACTTTGAACAGTGCTGTAAATGGCTGCTGATTAAAACTGCTGCTGTCTATATATATAAATTGTATTCAAACACCCAATGTTGTGGTCTTGTCAGTCACTTCACAATGTAATGTGAACAACGGAGGATGAGGCGAAAGTTTACTTACACATGTCTAAATTCTCCTAAAGTTATGTTGCCTTTTGACAGACTAACCATTTCCTCTTGTTTGCAGTCTCCATATCAAACTATCACATTTGACATAATATGGCCTTGTATATTTTAAATGATGGACTTCTATGTGTGGTTTGGTATTTGTCTATTAACACACCAAGCAGACACAGCAACATTAGCATTCATATAGAAGTAAATCCAATTTGCACTCTCTGTTTAACTTGGTTTTGGTCTCCACCAACTAAGTATTTGGCTTTTTAGCTGCTTAATGCTCTGCTATGTTCACCAGATAGTCGCTAACTTTGTCTGTCTGTTGTTTGGGTCTGAACAGGTTGCACTGTGAGCCATAAACCCGAAACAAAGAGCTGAAAGCTAAAAAAGAAAGACGTTAAAACGCTCTCTAGAGCTGAGGGGAGTGCAGCAGACTAATGGGAAAATGTGATGTAGGTTTGCCACTATGAGTTACTGCTTTCACATTACACTTAATTATATAATAAGCATTTCAAAGTGACAAATAAAGACATCCTACAAAAAAGAATCCAGTGCATATACTTACTCAAAGTAACGGTGTCATTGATGCGGAAGCTGCAGAGTACTTTCTGTACGTCTCGGGTGTGAAGGAAACCATTTCCTTTTACTACCACTTCGAAAGATTCTGAAATGGGATTAAAGGGACCATATTTTATAATTATGTACTGTCATTTGTCCTTCCAAAAGGTTTTATATTGTGTATTTTGAAAGGCCTATAGTCATAAATGTAACCTGGGGATATAAACTCTACATCATATGCTTGTATGTCTCTTTCAGTTGAATAATTATATCTAAATATCAGTTGTATAATGCAGAATTATTTTTAATAAAATGTTTGTGTGTACCTCCTGCACAGATGCTGGACGGCTCTACAGCCAAGATCTCAATGCATGACCTCTTCAGGATCTGAAAGGGGAAGTATTTGCACAAAAAGAGGAACTCAAGGTACAGTAGGTTCAATTTAGCAATTAAGTATTTAATCATATTTCTGTGACATAAAATTACCGAGTCGATGACTCCGTGTAGCGCCTCAAATCCGTCGTTCACCGGGAACACATGGTCCTTACTGTCAGCTATCGTTGAAAGCTGTCAATGACGATTCAATGATTATAAGTTTGCATTGCTCAATTCCTACATTAATAAACGGTTTTATTAGTTACCAGATTAATGTACCTGGGTTTCATTGAAGTCTTTAACCCCGACACAGTACACAGTGGCACCCAACTGGCGAGCTCTGCCTGCCTGAGACATTAAACAACACGTAGGTTTTTTTAATGATAGGTCATTTTGCAGTTCTATTTGATGACTGAGTTGGTATTCATGTTTATGAATCATTTGAGTGTGATAGAGTATTTCATGGTGTAGCATAGCCTGCCCAAGGACTGCAAAAGCAAATGATTCAAAGATTATTGATTGTTGTCCCTGTGTAATGAAGACTATATCTGAGTAAATGAACTTCAGTAGAAAGATGAAGGCTCAGTCAATCGGGCAGAAAGTGCAGGTTTCATTGCTCCTTATGGGCTGCAATTTTAACGTTTTTTCCACTTGTAGAAACGCCTCCTTCAGTTATGTTATGCCTTTGACAGCTGCTGGAAAACATCTGTTGTGACATTGCAGAGTCATGTGGCCACAAGGGCAACAACCCTGGTTTTTACACACAGGATAATACAGCAAAGGCTTTCCTGACATATGAGGTTCAAATGTTTATTTATGCTTTCAAGTTTCTATTTTTACATCATTTTTGAATAGGGGAGAGATATAGCTAGGTGATATGATGCATAATCACATGATGGGAAAAAAAGTCCCAATTTGCAATATTATTACTGTCTTTTTGAAATATATTCATTCTCTATTGAACATTGACTCACTGTTAAACTGCACTAAAGCAATGTCTAAGTAATGCTAACACCCTGCATTTAGTTTGAATCCCTATCTGGTTTTCATGTCACCTCTCTTTGTGCGAGGTCAAACTGATTTTCCCTCAGTTCACCGTCCGTCAGGGCGATGATCACACTGGCTGTCCGGTAACCTAAAAGCCAGAAACAGAGAGGAAATGGCGGTTTAAATAATGACACAAAATCCGTCTCATCAAATATTATAAAATAACTTTGATTTGATGGAAAGCGCAGCTGTGATTCGGTTGTTATCTTTGATTATTCTAACACGTGTTTGAATTGAGTTGTGATGAATGGATCAAATATACTTATTACTACTAGAAGTCATGATTAAGTGCTTGGAAAGGAACGTTTTTTACTCACCATCTCCGGTCCCGTAGTAAATTTGCTCGCTGGCCTAAAAGAGAAGTTTAGAGGCGTCAGTGGCAATATATTTAAATTGGTCTCATTTAAAACGAGTTAGTTGCCATCCTGTTGGGCAAGCAGGATCTGCTTCTCATTTATTTAACAGATGTCTTACTCTTTGAAAACCTTTGTCCATGAAGGTGTCTCCACCAGGATGCACATTGTTGAGCTCCTCCAGCCCGGCCCGAATCTGCTCTCTGATCATTGAGTATATGTTATTTAAAATTCAAGGAGATAGCACAAATTGCATTTAACTAAGCAAAGGAAAATACAACAGATACATTCAATCTTTAAGACATTTGCATGAGGCACCTGTCTTCTGTCAGTGCCATGAGAGTCCTTCCTTCTGTTGAAAACACAATGAAAGACATCCGCAGCTGAGGACTAGAAGAAAACAAAACAGCAAGAGACGACTGTCATGTTTTATAATATATTGTTTCTCTTTCAAATCTGACGTTTCTGCTTGGACTTACCTGATGAACTTGTGAGCCAGGTGGTCAACAAAGTAATAAATCTCATTCCAGTGTTGTTGCACACTGCCAGACCTGAGAAAGGGTCAAAGAATACAACTTGCTTATAGAAATTCATAAAGGTAGCAGTCCTTAATATATAGCCATGTAGTTTGCAGAGGTAGGAAGTAGTGGAGTATAAATACTTCGTTATTGTACCTAAGTACATTTTTCTGGTATCAGTACTTTACTCCACTACTTATTTTTCTGACAACTTTTTACTTTTACTTCTTACATTTTCAAAACAGGTTTGTTTGTTAGTTTAGTTTTAATCTGTGTTTGGTGGCGTGATCATTATTATTTAGAGTCATTGCGTCATTTCCTGGTCTTCTCTAAAGAAGAGGGACCAATGGAAACGTTGTCATGTTGCCGTTGTTCAGCATCGAAACATTCATTAGCTAACAATGACATTATTGTTCTATTAATATAAAGGGAGGTCAGGTACTCTTCAAAACAGCTGCTAGTTATGGGTACTTTTTACTTAAGAACATGTTGAAGCCCATACTTCTTTACTTTTACTTGGGTAAAGAAGTTTAGTCAGTACTTCTACTTTTACCAGAGTATTTTTAAACATGAGTATCTGTACTTCTACTTGAGTAAAGGATGTGTGTACTTTTGCCATCTCTGATAGTTTCTATATTTCTCAGTCATGTGGTAGTAGAGGGAGCAGTTGGTCATAAGTTGTTATGAGATAAAAAATATAGAAAAACTTCTTCTTCTATTTGCTTGTTTACTCAGAGCTACTGTTAAAAGCCCACATATATTTAGTTTACTATCTTTTAAGACAAGGAAAAGCAGGACATGTTCACATTTGAGAGGCAGTTACAGCTAATTGTTTTGCATTTTTTGGTTAAGTAAATTATAATCCATTGTCTGAATTGTTGCGCAAAAGAGCTGCACATTTAATGTTCCTTTTAGTTTGAAATTGAATGATTTACTATGCTGTAGCTGCTTTGTTATAATATATGTGTTTATCTTTAACTTGTTGTTGGTAATGTATGCATTAGCTCATCTGCAGTATGTTTTTAGAGAAGCCGGTGAGACTTAAACGTTTGTATTTTCTTATAAGTGTGATGCTTCACTTTTTCCCCATGTGGTTTCACTGCTTATTTGCATAACAAACAATGAGAAGTGCCACGTCCATTTTCAAATGAGCTGAACTTAATGTCAAGTCCTGATTTTAAAATATGTTGCGCACTCAAGTAACAATAAGAAGAGGACACTTTTAAACGGAAGTCAGCCATTAAAGAGAATTACGAGACACATATGTAAAACGTCTTCTCATTCTGCGCTGCTTCTCTTCTTCTCCCTCTTTGCTATGTTTTCATGTATCCTGTGATGTGAGACCCAGTGCAGATGTGCCGCCAAAAATGTGGGATCTCTGGAACATCTGGCTCTAATGGAGAAAGGGTTCTGCAGACTGAAGCAGAGCTGGACTCAATGTGGAGTCCTGTCAGTGAAACGTGGCCGAACTTCAGAAAGTACCAATGGAAAAAGTGATTTCTGATTTATAGTGTTATCTCCTGCATTTATTTCATTGGGTATTTATTTGTCACTGGGTCTGATTTGTTATATTGTTTTTGATATTTCTAATGAATCAGGATTCCCTGCAGGGCACTTTATTATTGAAGTGAAAGCATCAGCACTTTGTAAACTGTATTTTCCATCCAGGAGGACATTACTTTGACCTGGCAACTAAACATCAACACACTGACACATGACTGGAAATGACCTGCTGTGCTGAGGAGCTTCACACTGGCTTCAGCCTCATGGAAAGGGTTACCTAGCCCTCGTGTCAACACTCACAGGGTTCTAGAGATCTATTCCTTTGTTATGAGATATACATAGAGTGTTATGCCAAATGTGCCTATACCGTTTTCTGATTTTACGTGAGGATGTGTTTCTTTTCTTTGTTTTTTATAGTTTTAAACTGATTATCTTTAAGTTTTTAACTGTAAGAACAATGGAAGACATTTCCATGGAGCCACCTGAGACTCTGGGAGGATGAGACGCATTTTTTATAATTTCTCTGACATTTTATAAACCGAATTACTAATCGATTGATCCAGAAGCCATTTACACTATGATACTTGCATCTGGTGGTTATCAGTTAGTCTATATATTTAGTCAATATATTTTAAGAATGTCCCTATCAAATTAGCCATATATAAATAAAGCAATCTGCAGATCATCAATGAGAATATGTGTTGCAAATTGGAGCTGCTGGAGGTGATGCCCTAAACATCCTTTACCACAAGAAATCCTCAGATCTGGAGTGTTTCACTCTTCTGCCTTTTTATTTAACCTTTAGTAAACTTGTTTTCCGAAAGGGGACATTTCACAAAAAACATCCACATGTGCCAGCTGTGTTGACAGAACTGAGCTTTGTTTTGGCACTCCAAGTCACACACATTATTCTTTATGTCTGTCCCCAGCACAAAACCAGTCGTATTTTCACTTGACTTAAAGCTGCTTGTCATTTCAAATCTTCTTACTATACTACAATAGCTCCTATTTATCATGCAAGTAGCCCATGAATGCCTCGTGTTTGCACCTGTGTCTTCAGAACAATCTCAGATGAGTCATGCACCGATCATTACAAGTTTAATAAAGTAGCACTCACTTGTCCAAAACAAAGTAGAGGTCAAACCCTCCGTAGCAGGACGAGCCGGCCTCCCTCCTGCCTTGGCTCTGCCCTGCGCTGCTGACCACCAGGACCACCACCAGCATGCCCAGTTCCACACCGAGCAGGACCTGCCTGCACCAGCACTGGGACATCACCCCGGGTTAAAGAAAAGGCACCAGCTCAGCCAAAAAGAAGGTAAACAGTCTCCGATTGGAAATGTTGGTCCACTCTCCCTCTCACGCCACACTCATGCAGTCAGCCATGCTGCACATGCATTAAAGTCCTCTCTGGATCAGCGTCCCATCTCCTCAGCAGCAGATGTGTGCTGGCAGAGTAGGAGTGGAGCTACTGGGACTCAAGACTTCAGCTCCCTCTCTCTCCACGCTCAATCTTTTTAACACATGCTGCCATGAGTTCACATAAAAAACGTTTTAAAATGTTTTCTTTTTGTTTTTTAGCAGCTTTGACCAGACATTGGTTCTTGCTATTAACAGCAATCAACACAAATGTGCATGCACTTTTTTTGCAGGTTTACTCAATTCATTACCTACCCATCAGTGCCACTTAGTGGTGGGAGAGGTACTCAGATGTTTGACTTAGGCGAGTAAGAGTAATTAGTTACTTTTTATCTTTAGTGGTAAACAAATGCACTATAAAAATCATTGTGGTTAAATATGAAATATCTTCAGTTTAGTCAACTGTATTAAAGGTAAGAACTCGTAAACACTGGAATAATTACATGTGCTGTCTCTCCTGAAGTAACTTTATACATAGAGGTTGTTGTTTGTTTTTTAAAAGTGTGTCTCTACTTTAATTGTAGCTCCCGGCTCTCAAAATACAGGCTATTTTGAGAGCTGGGTATTGCATCAACCTTCAAAAGAATCAATTAAAAACTAAACTGAAGTGACAGTAGCTGGGCCTTTCACCAAAATGTAAAAAATTAAATATGGCAGTCGTCCTTTCTGTCTTTGCCAACATAAACAGTTCATAGTAGAAACTGAATATGCATTGCATATGCATATATGCATATGCAATGGTAAAATAGCTCAGGTTAAGAGCAAAAAACAGGATTTATCTTCTAAAAGGTGATATATTTAGGAGTCAATGTGACATCCGAGGGGTGATATAAGGAGGACTTTAAACTCATCACACTCAGTAAGTGGTTCCCTACCTTTATTTTTGCTCGCTTTTTAAATCCGCTTAACAAATTGTCTTAAAAAAGTACAGTAGGTGGAGTGGACCCTGTCACCTGGAGGTGCGTATAGGGTCAAGAATGAACTCCTATTTAAGATGTGTTTAAACCATAGGTTTAAACCTGTCTTGAGAAAGAGCCTGGGATATACAGTATGTTGTAATAAGTTAGCTTGTAGGTTTGCAGGAATTTAAAAAATGTGCAGGGTGAAAGTAAATACTTTTTGGCTGGACAATACATCTGCAATTTTGCTCCAAAATGATCCTCCAAATTAAGAAAGACAGACAGACAGAAGAAAGAAAGAGGATTAAGTGCCATGAGAAACATTGTTAGGTTTGCTAGTCCCACATTGTGAGTGTGCATAGCGCATCTGCCTGCAGGTGAAGTGCCTCTGGTTCAGATGCATGGCTGTTATACACCGTGCTCTCTCGGTGCTGTATGGCAGCGGATCACTGCAGCAGCATGGAGCCGTGAGGAAACAGCGCTGTGTTCCTGAAATCACACCGCTGCTGCTGTCGAGGAACTTTAGTTTGAGCGATTGTCTCTGCCCACATTTACCAACTTTACCTGTTGTAGACATTTGATGGTAGCCTACGTAATGGATGTCGCTCCAGCGTTTCTGTGGCTGCTGTTGTGCAGTCTGCGCGTTTCTCTGGCGGCTGACTGGCAGGCGGTGGACCCTCATGTTACCCTCCTCGGTGATGTAATCGACTACAAGGATCCCTGTAAAGCTGGTACAGTTAATTTTACCTCGTCTGCAAATATATTGATCCTATGTATTCCCTTTTGGTGTATGCAGTATTATGTTCTGTGTGTTGTTCCAATACACGTAGCCTCTATAGGCCATAAACACATTGAGCTCAGACATCTCAAAGTTAAATGTAGCTATTAATGATGTTGATGTAAATGTATAGAAAAATGTAGGATAACATTTAGGTATACACTTTCTATACACAAAAGAAAAAATCCTTCCATATATTGTCAGTAATTTATCAATGAGATAACAACTTTGTGTTAACCTGCATGAGTTGTTAGAGTAAAAGCACTCATTTCCACAATATAAGTAAAATAAATGTCATTTGAAGATGTTTGTATATAACTTGCTCTTGACTTATAATGTAGGTATTTTAAGTATTGGTCTAAAGTAAAACAAGTAGCAATCTCTGAGACAAATCAGCCTAATGCAACAGCTATATTGTTCAAGTGTCTGGTAGTGTTGGAAGAACTAATGCCACAACATAAAAATACTCCATTACAAGGAAAAAGTCCTGTATTTAAAATAAATACGGTCTAATAAATAAATTGATTAGTTAGATGACTGAAAGGGCCCTTTTATATCATTTTATATGACAGTTTTAGTGAAAAACAGTTAAACTTAGCTGAAGTTTCATCTGTGGCATAGCTTTATAGTTTACAGTATTGTAACAAAGCTTTCAGGTACATATAGTGGAAGCTATTTGTCTCAATATTCGTGGAGAACAAGTATCTCATAAGTTAAAATTGAAGTACACAAGTGAAGTATCTCAGAGTTGTACTCGGGTGCAGTAATAGAGAAAATGTTTTTAGTGACATTGTGTTTAAAAAATAAGAAGAACTATTCAATAAAGCACCATAACAATATTCAGAAATAGAGGTCAGGATGAGGTGTCTGATTTGATAAACCCGTCTTTAATACCATTGCAATTAGCTTTCTGTAGAGTTAAAGAATATGCAACTTTATTCCTTTGTATAACAAGCCAAAAGATCACTTTGCTTATTAGCGGGCCCCCAGCTGGTTGTGGTCCCTTTTCACTTGTGACTTCTGAAACTTCCACAACACACCACTCTTCTTCTCCGAGGCAGTTGCCTGGAGACTGGGGGTCATTGAGGCCGTGCCAGCGCTGTCCTCGGCAGGACGCCGGTGAAATCCCTCTGGCTTCAGGGTATGGGGCGCACACTGCAGCGGTGACAGTCATTTACAGTCACCCTTTGCATGAGTGAATTCACTTCAAAAGGCCGACACAGGGCCTTCAATGTCTTTTCAGTTGGACTTTCAAAGGTGGTTACATCACACAGCTAAATGAGGTATTTAATGGGAGCAACTTTACTAAGCTTTTCTGCCCGACTAGTAAAACATGAGATACTGTTGTATGCAGGAGGTCATTATAATGGAAGCAAAATGTGAGGGAACCGAAAACATGGTCAGATGTGTGTGGGATTCCTCTAATTAGGTTTCAGAATAGACACTTTGAAGCCTGGATTTAGTTGTCAGTAACTGAAAGCTCATTTGGACTTCAGTATTGGCTAGTGTGTTTGTAATGTTTTGTGTCTTGTGGTTCAACTTTGTGTTTTTGATGTTGAAGTTGAAGGTTTTCCTGCTTTCAACCAAACTTAAGTCCAGACATGAATCACTCCTTCTTTTGGCTTGTTTGGTTGTTTACACTTGCTTGTTTTTTTCTCCCAACCTGCAACTCTTTAACACGTTCACCTTTTTTTATCTTATGCTGTTATGCAAGAACACTTTTCCATACCTAGCATTTTTAGGCTTAGTAAAACATTAAGCCTGGGACTGACGTTATAATGCTGTCACACCTGATATCTGGGACACGTACAAAAGATAAGAGTAATGTTTGGGGAATCCATGCTGCTAAACCAAACACACACAAAACAAACATTGTTCCTGGAGTGCTCTGTGGGTCTTCCTGATTTACATGGTTGGTCACAAGCCATTCAATTTAGAAGAGTTTCCTCTAATCATAATTTGATTGGTAGAAAGTGATGTTGAGTCTTTGAAGGTGTGGAAGATGCAGTTCTTCATCTTATCAAGCCTGCAAAGCTCTTTGCTCCGATGTACAGTAAAGGACTTCACTCCTCAGTTAATGAGTTGCTGGGTATAATTATGAAAACATATCTCTGCTTATTGACTAAGGCATTTTACCACAACCTTGTTTTGTAACTTTGAGAAACACACAACTCTACAGACTTAATCTCAAGGCCATAAATGAATATATGAACTTCTTACAGGAGTTCTTTATGGTTGTTGTTTTGTCATTGGAGTACAAGTCCAGCAAAGTGTAGTCACAATGCTATAAGGTATTCAGTTCACATCTTCATTCTTTGAAATGACAGAGACAGTCCTCCAATATGTTTCAGTGTGTGTGCTCAGCAGGAGTGTTTGCTGATCAAACAGACACATGGAGTCCGTTTAGACCTGTTCTCAGGACAGAGATATTAGACACAGTAATGCATGCAGTGAAGTTTGGCTGCTTTTTGAAGTAAGAAAAATAACTGAGAATCAGAGATGAGTTTTAAAAATATCATTAGAGTTAGGTTCTGTCTGTGATGAAGAAATGATTAAACCAACCGCTCAAACCTTTGTTTGGATTTACTGAATGACTCAGTGTGAGAAATAGGTCATTTTCTAAAGTTTAGTTTTCTCCACATTACTTAAAGATAACACTACTCCGAATTAAAGAAATAATATGATATTTGCTAAATATGCTTAGAGCTTAAATGGGAAAATCAATGTATCTGAGTGTTCATCTTTTCGCCCCAGCTGCCTTTTTGGGAGATATCGCCCTTGATGAAGATGACCTCCGCATGTTCAGAGCCCTCAGCAATGATGGTGCAATGCCCACTGTCCAGACCAGCAACACAGACTCAGGTATCAAATATCATTAATTTACTGACCTTTGAATTATTCTTATGACTGTTTGGGGTGTTCAAATAAAGGGATATACTCAATCCAGACTCACTTTTGCACAGTTAACAGCTCCAGACAGAGCATCAGGAGTAAGAGAGCCACAGACAGACAGAGTCTCCGTCGGAGGAGGAGGAGGAGGAGGAGAGCGGCCACATCCAGACCTGAGAGAGTGTGGCCGGACGGTATCATCCCGTATATGATCAGTGGGAACTTCACAGGTGAGCTCTGGATTAAAACAGCAAAGCATTCATAAATATTTACAGGAGAGTTGTCTGCTATACACAGTCAGCATGTGTTGGCTGCTCTCTGTGATTTTGACCTGGTGAGGCTGTCAAACTCTAATTCCTTTCAGGCAGTCAGAGAGCCATTTTCCGACAGGCCATGCGTCACTGGGAGAAACACACTTGTGTAACATTCACTGACAGGAC